AAGATCAAATCAAGCCAATTTTGTCAGGCCGTGTTTAAATACAAATTCATATTGACATTTCAATTCTCACCAAAGACAAAGTTGTCTGGTCTAAAGATCTGGCCAAAAGAACTAGACCTCACAGAGTCCATTGTTCCTGGCTCCAAGTCCACCAGCACTGCACGAGGGACATACTTCCCACCTGTTGATGACAGGGACAAGAATATGAATACAGACAGGCAATTCACACAAACAATTCTGAAAAAGAAAATAGTACACAAGTAAAGATCGCTCCCTTTTTCCATCACTACCATTGAGTTAACAGTCATTAAATACGAAGCCCTTTGAAGAGAGGAAAAACACATTCAACTGTACTACATAGTTTGTATTTAATTCTGTCTATTTCTAGTGATTGAAAGTCATTATACTGTGAGATGATAACTTCAAGTCTCAAGTTAATAGGGTTTTAGGCGTTTTACATTTGTAATTCACCATTTTAAAATTTAAATGGCAAGACAAAGCACAGACAGTGGTTTATAAATAAACTTTAATCCCTCGTATTTTGCAGCCTGTTGCTTTATATCTCTTCATAATACAACACATCTTGATTTAGATCACTCCCTTATGTGCAGTCTAATGAATGTTAAGTTAAAGCTGAAATTGTTAGCTGGGGTTTGATTTGTTGTTTCATAAAATGGTGACAGTAACTAGGAGGGGATTAGGACCCCCTGGGATGAGGACCACCTGCTGGATGGTTGGGGTAATAACAACCTTCCTTTGGTATTGAATTACATTGACTCCTGTGGAAATGAGATGATCATTGGAAAAGCTTTGGCAAAATGATGCTTACCTGTAGCCTCGTTGTAGTAGACGTTGATTCGCTCCAGCTGATTTTGGCTGTCTCCATGGTAAGTCCCACTTGGGTCGATGCKGTGTTCWTCACTTATCACCTCCCAGAACTGGAGGAGAACAAACATTAGGGGTTAAATTAGCCGGCTAACTAGCATGACCTGTCCTAGAGAGTCAAATTTAACATGGACTATAATTATCTTTGTCGCCAGGTAAGTTATTTCAGCAGCCCACTCAGTATGAATTTGCTCTGTTACACTTTTAAAACGTTTTTTCAAACCTTGGCTCCGATCTTGTTTCCACACTGGCCAACTTGTAGGTGCACGATCTCTCTCATTGTGGTTGAAATTAAAAACTTGATTCTTCTCTCTGTGAATGAGGATGGAGAAAGCTACTGTCAATCAAAACTAACTGGGAATGTGATTGGTCAATGAAAGTTAGTGGGAGTTATGATGGATGGTGCCCCAGGTGAGCTCCACTGCCTTGATAACATAAAGTAAATTTCAAACACAACTCTCACTGCAGAGAACGTCTGCTTTTTCTCACGTGCACGACCATGTGCCCAGTTCAAGTTACCCAGCAACTATTTATCTAACTTATCTTCATAAATCTGAATCCCAGAAGACATAAATCATTCCAGAAAAAAAAGATGACACTAAGAATCTTTTTGAAATTACACTATTGTGTAATAGTGAGAATAACTGCTGTTACAAATGTTCCCAGATGTTGGATAACTATCTAGCTCCTTTTCTGGCTAGCTAACCATAGCTAGATCAACAAAATAAAATTTGAACTAGAACAGTATATACTTAATAGGCAGTGTCTGGTCTTGATTCTGAGTATTTTTCACAGGATCAAGCTGGAGTTGTGAGTTGTGTCAGTTGTGTTTTGGAATCGAGCTCTACTACATGAATAAGGCTCCTCTGATATCATATAAGATGCTACATAGAAAAGGCGATGTCATCAAAGGAGCCTATGCCTCATAGATGATGCAATGTCATCAGAAGGAGCCTTCTTCATTTCACACATCAAAGCACACATTAATGCTGATCATTAGTAGATGATCATTGTAAAAGGCGTGCAAAGGAATTTGACCAATAAATTCAAAATGGTGAATTTCCTGTTAAATTTGGATCCTGCCTGATAGATCCATGATGAATTAACTGTATCTAGGGCAAAGTAAAAGCAGGGGGTTTGATTTTTAAAACCCTAGGCACAATCCATTTCACCACACCTATACGTGCAAGAACCGTAAAATGTATCATTTTCACAACTTTCCCAGGGAATAATTTATGGATCTTGAAATCTGTGTATTAAATCCAAAGGGACTCTAAACTACTTACAGAATGGGGTTTCTTTACTTCACAATTCCTGTCTGACCTGCTTATCCGATGTTCTTATGAGGTCTGGTTCTACCTGATCTTTTCAAGGGTTGAATGTATAAATGTTAATAGTTTGGGTCTTTATGGTCCTTGCAAAGAGAGCACTTATTATGTGCTCCAACATTAGCATTGTTTAAAGTCAAACTCAATCAATCGCATCAGTCAAATACCATTTGTATACTTCATACTCACAAATAACAATTTGTATCAACAGGGTGCAAGATCTTCTGTCCTCCACCCTCAGCAAGAGTAAGGAAAAACTACTGTAAGACTGACATGTGAGGGATCCCTCTCCCAGGACAAAAGTGCAATAGCTGCACGTAACTGAGAACATCAGCAAAATAACAACACTGATGAGAAAAGTCAGCATCTAACTTAAATTAAGACACGTATCAATGTTTAAAGTATTTATACATAAGGAAAAGTCTAACAGAGAAGACAGGAGCAGTGATGACATGATTGTAAGAGATGTTGCCAATAAAAGTATTATATATCAGCATATTGTGTATCCAAGCAGTCTAGTTGTTATTATAATCCAAGATCAGCATCCATGATCAATATCCACGACAGCATTTTTTACATTGGGCTTACTGTGTTATTATCATCATCTGATTCGTTTTTGTGTTTTTATTTAATATCTATGATTGTATTTAAAAGGTTCTGTTTTTTTGGAGTATTCAAACCTGATTCAGAGACATCCGATTGAATTGGAACATAGGAACCCCAACACCAATATTTGTGGTGGACACAGATGTGTGGTGGTAGCATGTGACAGCATTTCTAGTTCACCGTCATCTCAATGACCTATGCTGAGAGCCTGTTTTGGTACTGCACCACCACGTGTTGTCACTGACTGTCCACATTCCCACCTCCTCTGAAAAGAAGCTTCATCTTATCTCTGGTAGGTCTGATCTCCGTTTGAACGGCTGAAACATCTGTAGACACACACACCTGGACTCACTGGGGGCCGCCCTCATCGAGCACAGCCAAGCGCTTCTTCATTTGATGTCAGCCAGCAGGCTTTCTGCTGCTCATACCTCCGTGGAGAGGCCCCCGCTCTGCTGCTGCAGGCCCACACTGAACCATGACTGATACTCAGCTTTCGCTCGCTGTCAGTGGGCTTTGTTTCTGACCACGGCCGCCATGGTACAGTACTGTCCCTGCAGGCTGAAGGGGCTTTAATCCAGGTGTGGAGGATTAAACTGTCAGATCCAGGTGTCAGGATGAAGATATGAGGGACTGACTTCTCTTTGATTTATTGATGGTTGGTTTATGAGGCGGACAAATAAATTTCAAAGAGGATACTACAGGATGTACTCATAAAACCAGCTTGTTTAAATGGTGTGCACGTCAATTCTGGGAATATGATGATGTTTAAAAGAGTTAAAAACCTGATCAATGAAACTGGTTAGAAACAGTTTGTCCAAATTAGAAGAAAAACAAATCACAACTAAACTATGAAAACTATCAGAGGAGGGAGACGTAACTCGTGCACATTGTTTATACTCCAATCAAGCAATGCTTACTTTTATATTGTAAAAATGACACATCATAATGATGTCATCAGTGTAATTTACACCATATGATGATGAATGATTGGTCAGTGTGAAAAGGCTGTAGATTTTGTCTCTAATCTTATTAGTTGCTAAAATGTATGCATCATGTCATTGTCTGACATCATGATGATCAAAATAATTCTTTCCATACAATCAGTTTATTTTTAGGATGCAGGGATAAATGGACAAATGTTTTTTTTGAGCCCCCGCATGATCTACTTTTCTGTGATTTCTGCATGGCGTCACTTATCATATGATGGGGAATCATTTTCTGATCAATATGAGTTTTAGATCCTCTATTATTAGTAGACACCTAGACACCAGAACTGCTTCTTTCCACTGGCCATCACTCTGATGAACAATCCGTGTGCAATAATCCAGTATATATATATATACACACACACACACCGGCCACTTTATTAGGTACACCTTGCTAGTGCCGGGTTGGACCCCCTTTTGAACTGCTCTTCCAATGGGGGTCTATTCCTGGTCAGCAAGGCAACATAAGTACATATTTCAATCTGTGTATGAACTCTATTCCTTTCTATACTGTGGTCCATGTAAAAATGTGACTTAACACTTTTACCTACCCTG